AGCACGAAGATCGCGGTCCGAGCTGGCCCGGGAGCGACACGCCGAGGCCCGAGCTGAGCACGTTCGCGCTCTCCGCGAGGCGCGCGAAGACGCAGACGAGCCAGTAGAAGAGGAAGACGCGTCGGCTCAGCATGCGCTCGAAGCGCCGCCTGCGATGGCCGCGCGTCGCATCTCTCGAAAAGAAACGAACATGCTTCGAATCTCTCGAACAGAACCGACCACGCGTCGCATCTCTCGAAAAGCGTCTCGCGTCGCTTCGAATCTCTCGAACAGAACCGACCATGCGTCGCATCTCTCGAAAAGCGTCTCGCGTCGCGGGACGCCGCGCGGCGCTCGTCGCCCGCGTCGGGGAGCGTGAACTCGCAGCACGCGATGTCGTTGTCGATGTCGCGGTCGTCGTCCCCATCCGCCGCGACGCGATACGAATCCTCGAAGGTAACGGCGTGGCCCTCCGGCACGGGCTCGGGGACGCCGCTCGAGCCGCTCGAGCTTCGGAAGGGGTCCTGGAAGCCAGGCGTTTCGCTAGCCCCGAGCATGATGCCTCCGAGAGTTCAAGTCAACCGCTCGCGACGGCGCGAAGAGTGCTCGTGATCGAAAAAGCCTCGAGTGCTCGTGATCGAAAAAGCCACGAGGTCTCGCTTGTTGCACACATTCAAAATGCACCTCCGATGTTGAAGGGGCAAGAACCGAGTGAGCGAGCATGGCCGCCGCTGTCGCATCCCAGGCCGCCATCCCATCCCAGGCCGCCGTGGCGGAGCAGCCCGCCTTCGTGTTCACGGAGGACAATTTCCGCGCGCCGAAGCTCCCCGCGAACCTCAAAGTCGTCGACGTGCCCCTCGTGGAGGCGACGGACGCGGCGCTGGAGGGTTTTGGGTACGTGCTCCACAGCGCCGACGAGCGCACGGTGGAGAAGAAGAACTTCGAGATCGTCCAGTGGCCCGCCAAGGGCTGGCGCAAGTGCGACCCGGGCTGCGGCGACGAGGCGGGGACGACGGAGGGCCGGTTCGAGGTGCGGTGGGAGGGCGACTTCTTCTACGGAAACAACTTGGCCGTCGCGACGACGAACAACACGTACCTCGACGGCCTCGGCGCGCTGCCGGAGGTCGCGAGCGCCGACGAGGCGACCTGCGCCGGCGACGGGAAGGCGATCTTGCTCTGGATGAGCGACTACCACGGCGACGGCGCGCAGCTCTTCTTCCCCGAGCGGCGGCACCCCTTCGTCGTGTGCCTGGGCCCCGCGGCCTGCGGCGACGACGTCGCGCCGGCCGACATGCGCGCCTTCTACGTGCCCGCGGGCAAGGGCGTCTACTTCCACCCGGGGACCTGGCACAACGGCGTCTACGTCGCCAAGGACGTCATCGCGCGCCTCGGCGGCGACAAGGCGACGTTCCTCACGCGCCAGGGCAGGGTCCACAGCCGCTTCTCCGCGAGCTGGGCCGAGGAGTTCGGCTGCGTCCTGCGCGTCCCGCTGACCCTCTGAGGCGCGGCGAGTATTAAATTTTGGCGATGTCGGCCCGGGCATCGTCGAGATCATGATGTCGCAGTCATAGCCTGAGACGCAGCCGCCGCCGCCGAAAAACAACACACAAGACCCTTATTTAAATACCCCCTACGACGCCCGCCACGTCAAGACCCCCACGGACCCGAGCGCCTTGACGGCGATGCATCCGAAGGTGTCTCTCGAGGTCGGCGAACGTCATGTGTTTCGGGACACTCTCATTCATGAGCGGCAAGGTCTTCCACATAGCCGCTTCGTACAACCGGCGGCTACCCTCGACCTTAGCGCGGTCGCTTTCCGCGAGCTCCTCGAGAGCTTCGCGCATCGCTTTTCCATAATCTTCGACGCTCGCGTGTCGCCATCCGGAGGTCTTCGATTCAGGTGCTGTTTGCTGCCGCGCCGGCGCGGCTGCGTCGTCGAGCTTGTCGAGGATCTTTAGGACATGCAAGGCGCCGCTGAGATCGGGGTTTTGATCATAGCTGTCATAGTCTTCCTGAAGCTCTATACAAGTTCGCAAACACCCCTCCAGTTCAGCCTTAAGTTCAGGTGATTGCTCTCGGCAAAGCTTTTTCGCTTTTTCCCTCCGAGCTCGGAAGAGCTTCAACACGTGGGCCGGGCTATGACCCTGCGCCAGATGCACCATGAAGAAGCGTGTTGCCGCGGGCAGCTGCAATTCGATCTCGTCCCGCGGCAGCCCCATCTTCAGCATCACGAGCCGCATCGTTCGCTCGGCGTCTGCTTGTATCTCCTCACTGCTCCTACGATTCCCGATGCTGCTTGCTTGGTCGATGTCCCTTTTAAATTGAAGCTCCGCGGCGGCCCGACTGTTTCCTTCCGCCAGATACGCGTCAAACTTGCGAAGAGCCTCGGGCATCGACGCGTCGATCATTCGCGCTGGGACGCCCGCGTCCTGCATCGTGTGACGGAGGAAAGACTCGATGCTCTTCAGCTCGTCGAGCGCCGCGGCCATCTCCGCGTCCGTCGCGTCGGCGGGGATCCCATCGATCTCGGGCGCATCGGCCATGCTGCCCGCTTGCGGCTGGGTTTATTGCTGAGCTGCAATTTAACCTCAAGGCTGATTCCTTGAAGTGCTCGAGCTCAAGAGGCGAGCTGGACTGTCGCGTCGCGCGCCGCCAGGTCTCCCACAGTGTGCGAGCCGCGAGCTGCCAGTCGCGTCGCGCGCCCGCCAGCGCGCCCACACATCGCTCGCAGCTCGCTGCAGCCAGTCGCGTCGCGCCCGCCAGCGCGCCCACACAAATCGCATGAGCGCCGTCACGCGCCTCCTCGGCGGCATGTCCGCCGTGGCGTCGGCCGCCGGCGGGCGGCGGCGCCTGGCCACCGTCGGCCTCTCGGGCGGCCGCCGGCGCCTCGCGACGGCGGCGCCGGAGCACTTCCTGCACGTGGGCCCGGGCGGCGACTGGTGGGAGGGCGGCGGCATCTACGCCGCGAAGCACAACCCGAGCGACTACCTGTGTGGAAATCAAATCTTCAACCCGACTTCAATGTGAGCGTATGCGACCGTTTCGACGCAAGCTCTTCGGCTCTGCTTCGAGAACTTGACGAGAGCGATCGATTCGTCCAAAAATCAGCCGAATCGACTTCGATTTGACCGAGCTAGAGAATTTCAAAGTTTGGTCAGGACGTCCCAGCTCACTGGTTGATTTGCACACAGGCGACTACGTGCGGTCGCTGCCGCTGCCCGTCGGGACGCGGCTGCGCGGCGACGTGCCCGCGGGCGAGGTCCGGGCCATGTACGACGCCGCGGCCGTCGACGCCGCGTGGCTCGAGCCCGCCTGGAGCGCGGGCGACCCGACGGCGGCCCTCGCGGCGCCGGGGCGCTGCCAGCTCGGCGACGACTGGACGCCCTGCGCGCTCCGGGACCGCGTCTGGGTCTCCGACGACACGATGGTCGCGACCTTCGACCTGCCGGACGCGTCGGCGCCGCTCGGCCTGTCCACGTGCGCCTGCGTCCTCGCCCGGGGCGGCGCCGGCGACGACGGCGAGCCCGTCGTGCGGCCCTACACGCCCGTGTCGACGAACGCGCTCGTCGGCGCGTTCCAGGTCATGGTCAAGGTCTACGAGCGCGGGACGCTGAGCCGGGCCCTCGCGGCGCTCGACGTCGGCGACGCGGTCGACTTCAAGCACATCGCCTTCAACGTGAAGATCCAGTTCCCCTTCGGCGCGAAGAAGGTCGGCATGCTCGCGGGCGGCACGGGCATCGCGCCCATGCTCCA